GGGCAACTCCTTGTCTTAAACAAGGGCCGCCTACACCCGTGCTCCATCGTATTCGATGCAGAAGTAGTAGGAGCCTGGAAAGGGCTCCAGTAACGGCGGGGACATACAGATGGGACAGTCCCCCAAATGGGACAGTTCCCCCACCAAAACACAACATTTGCACCCACTCACATCTCTATCGGGATTGAAGCTGTAGATATCATAAGTATATCGTCTGAATTGTCTTTTCTTGGTGTTTCTTCCAATGTGAAATTTATTAGGTGTCCTACAGCGGGATGTCCCGTGGCGGGGTCGGAAGTTAGCACGTCCGGCCCTAATCTGAGGGGTAATGGGACCCGTGCCCCCTATCTCCTCTAACCAGGCAGAAGTTCTGCGGTTTTTTTTTTCCTTTTTTTTTTTAAGCATCATAAGCTTCAGTACGTCGAAATTGCGCCTTTATACACCGAAGAAGACCTTGCTAAGGCGATAGCAGCCGTGAACGGTGACGATCTGTCCCTCCAGAAGGCTGCCCAGCGCTATGGAGTACTAAAAACCACCCTTTCTCACAAAGTTAAAAACTCTACGATGCCTATAACTGGCACCCAGCGTGAAGGACATGCTCACAGGCAGAAAATAAGCCCTGTTTAAGAAAAAAAGGTGATTTCATAGATTCTATACCAAGAAAAGGCCGGCCATGCCTCTATTCACGCCAATGTGAGGTACATCATTTAGAAGATCCTACAATCCCAGGGAAAACCGCCTCATCTTGGGGGCCATTACATGCGAAATTTTATCCGCCGGAACCCAGAGATAAAGACCAAAATGGGCAGAAAACTTGACTACAAGCGTATCAATGCTGCCATTCCTGACAACATCCATGGCTATCATGACTGCTACACAGATTTTGACTCCATTAAGCCCGGGAACCGCACAGATATCAATAAGTACGGCATCATACAGGGCCGGCAGTACGTACGTCCAATCCAAGTGTTTTTCAGACGGCTAACCAGGAGGTTATAGGTCTGATGGCCTTGTAATAGGCAGTTCTGGCTCAAAAAGGGCCAACGTCAAGTCCAACAATGACCACACGTGGACTACCGTGATAGAATCGATCACTGCTACTGGGAAAAAGCTCTGGCCGCTGGTTATTTTTAAGGCGAAGTTGATACAGATACAGTGGTTCAAAGAGCAGCTATTCTCAAGCATCCCGGGGTGACAGACTGGATAGTGACTTACTCTGCTAATGACTGGTCCTCGAACGCGATTGCGCTTAAATGGCTTAAAAAGGTTATTTTATTTTTATTTTTTAATGTTAACTATATGCTAAACAACCCCCCAGATCTATCTACCAGATACTGCCCCTAAAGACCCAGATGACTTCCGCCTGTTGGTGCTCGACGGCCATGGCAGCCACTGCTCAGATGATTTTATGTATATGTGCTATATAAACAATGTCTATCTGAGCTTTTTTCCTGCCCATACGGTAGGTTATATCCTTAATTAGTAGTTATTCTGTTAATAGGGGTAGTCTCATATCTTCCAGCCCCTAGATCTGACCGTTTTCTTTGTGATAAAGGCCGCCTATCGCCGCCTCATTAATCAGCTCGGTCAGTTGAACGATTCGGCCCCTATTGGCAAGATTAAGTTCCTTTCTTGCCTGGCAAAAGCCCGTGACAAAGCTATTCCTGTTATCATGCGTTCCGGATGGCATGCTGCTTGCCTTTGGCCCATAAATAGGAACAAGACACTGACAAACGAGCATGTAGTAAAGGCAGCAGAGATACAAGCAACAGCTGCTGCTATAATGAACCCTAAAACCACCCCTGATGCCCTGGAAGCCCTTATATCAGGGCAGGATATAGCCCTGATATTGTCAACAGTCGCGGAGACCCCTGAGCAACGAGCAGCAGTACGCGTGGTTGCGAAGTCATACAATGAGATGGTGGTTGAATTAGCCATCTTGAAGCTGCAAAATGAGGCAAAAGACGACAAGATCAAGCATCTATAGCCTAAAAAGCGCTATAAGGCTCCCCAGAAAGAGCCTGATTAACGGCTATGGAGGATAGGAGACGTTATTCAGGAACAGATCGAGCATACGGAGGCCGCACGAGTGCTGATTGACCAGTGGGCAGAGAGACGACGACTTTTGCACAAAGTGCAGAACTTGGAGACCAAAGAATCAGAGGAATCGCCTTCTGAGGACTCCCTTTCCTTTGATTCAACAGATTTAGAAGATCTAGACGAAGGGGTGGCTATTGACAAAGAGGGCAAGGGGGTGTCTGACGAGCCGGATGATGAAGAGAAAGAGCCCATTGTGATGCAATCTCGGCGCCGAGAAATCAGCCAACCCGCGTGCTACCGCTAAAAGCACTAATATTGCTAAAAATACCAAGAAAAGGCGATTCTTTTGATATATATACATTATCTATAGACTCAATACCAATGGGGTTATATGTGGGTACAAATGTTGTGTTTTGGTGGGGGAACTGTCCGATCTGAGGGGCTGTCCCATCTGCATGCCCCCGCCGTTACGTGACCAAGGCCCCTCCGGAGCTGAGCCAGCGCCGGATCTGGGTATGCGTGGATAACACAGGAGCGATCTGGGGACTCCGCGGCAACGCCGCGGTCTCCTGCCAGTGGGCCTACCTAAAGGTCCATGCAGCGGCGGAAATCCGGGACGTCAGTGTCAAGTGGTGTCCCGGCCACTATAACATCCAAGGCAACGAGCTTATAGACAAGCTGGCTAAGGCCGGCTCCAAGCTGCCTGTTATTGATAGCGACTGCACGCCCACAGCCTACGGCATCAAGTCCATAGCGCGAATAAAGGGAGCTACGGCTCGTGAGAAATGATGGGACAAGGCACAAGCAATACTGTCATCTCGCTACAAGGACTGGAACCTTGGTTATTATCTGTGCTGTTATGAGGAGCTACAGGTACTTACAAGGCCAGCATTACATCACTATCTCGCCACCTGTACAGGACACGGTGACTTTGCTTGGTATCATGACAAGTTTGGACACCCAGACGCCATCCGTGAATGCTCTTGCGGGAGAGCAAAAGCCCCGGAGCACATCGTCCACTGCCAGAAATCCATCAAGCAATTCAAGAAATGGCCCCTACGCCCCTCCCGGCGACCTACCAGACCGGAACAACAGCGCTACTTATGTAATATTATGGACACTCCTACAGGTTACTGTGAATTACTCGTGGCCACAAAATTCTTTAGTGGTATCTGTCCTCATTATTAAGAGCAATAGGTTTTCTTTTTGTTTAGACAGTGTCCGGGGGATCTACTTTAAATCTCTTTCCTTTATGGTGCACTTTCACATAAAATTAGAACACTAACTTTGTAGAACTTACCTTACAGCGTGAATCAAGCTATTTGAATTTGGGGATATGTTATGAAACTGAGCATTGAGAACGACGTCGGCACCATCCCTCACCCGGAAGAGGGGGGACACGATGGGAACCGCTGTTTAGATACAGTGGCTGTTTACGGACGAGACCTGCTAGCTGGGCAGCTGTATGTATATATATAGTATAGGACCTAGCCTAGCACGCCCGCGCGCCCTTTTGGAGGCCCAGGGCCGCCGCCATGCGGCAGGCCCCTTGGCGTTAAAAGTTACAACAACAACAACAACAACAACAACAACAACAACAACAACAACAACAACAACAACAACAACAACAACAACACAATTGTGGTGTCTCAAAAGATGACCCATTGGTATTGCTATTGTAATGAATGGCACGAGGATGTGTTTGCCGCCGAAAGGAATTGGGTTGAAGATGGTCATTTTAGACTTCAGTTCCCGGCCATAATTGACGGGTACCCGAGCTTTCCGGAGCTTGAGAACCTGCTCAGCGAGTACAACTCCAGGGAGTTAACTCACTTACGAAGAAGACGCCCTACCGGGTGTGACTGGCCTGCTTTCTATACTGAGTCGTTCGTTTGAGGGGGGTTTTTTGTTTGGCCTGCCTCTGATGTATATCGATGCTGCGTTGATGTGGGATCGAGGGTGGGCAACTGCGGAACTGCAGAGGCGAAAACCTTCGCGAAGAAATCCATCTGCGTCAGAACTACCCTCCTGGTCCTGGATTGGTTGGCACGCCGAAAGTCTCGAATTTCTGCTCGAGAGTGCCTTCCGGACATCCGTGGCATCGTGGCACGAACGTACAACGGCTCCCGTCACCCAGTGGTACAACCACGACGCTCCCAATTCGGGCACAAAACGAGCCATCCAATCAACGTGGTTTAGCTCCCAGAGACTGATCCAGGATCATCTCGACGATTTACCGGAGGGGTGGACGAGAGAAGAATACAGCCCTGAAAAGCACCATCAAGTATGGCCCGATGACGTTCCAGCATATTCGCCAGGGGGTCTTGGGAAGTATGTCTACCGGCATGTTGCCCTACCTGGGAAGAGCTTTTGGTGCCCAGTTCCTGTCGCGAGCGGAGATCAGCAAGCAGAGCTAGTCACCCGTTGCAGGGGCCGTACATATCATGCGAAACGAAACGAGGCTGGTTTCCTGCGACGCGTTTCCCAATCAGCAACTTTCACTGGTTCGAAATCGACCACGAGGACCACGTACGCATGGCTCGACTCAGCGACAGCAAGGGGGATGAATGTGGATGGCTCCGACTCCATAGTTGCACGGATGGGTACCCCTTTCCCAAAACTCACTCGCGGAACAGGATGGCGGTCGAGCTGGTGGCCATCTCTCTCCACAGGCGCGGCCCCTGCGATATAAATGAGGGTACCGAAGATGATCCTCAAGACTATTACGCCGTTCTTTGGGTGGAATGGGTCGATGAGGTTGCTTACCGCAAAGCTCCTGGGTTCGTGGAGAAGAGGGCATGGGAGGAACATGACCTTGAGGATGTTCACCTGGTCTTGGGATAGTGTCATGACTTACGGGGGATAGACATGTGAAGAGAGGTGCCCATTGCGAGCGGCTAGGCAAGAAGGCTGTCAGACATGTACGCCGTGGCAAGCTATCCGTCACATCTAGCAGGCTATTAAATACAGCGGGTGATACCAATATCACACCCTTGCCATCGACACACCTCCAGAGGCCGATCTCCAATAGGTTCCAGCTCCCACAGCCCCTGCGCCTCAGATTCTCGATATCGGACCCCCATGTTACAGTCTCTGTGTCCGTCAACATACAGAACCGCCGAGTGCCTCACATCCTCCCCACCAACGAGCAGCTTCACTATCTGATTGGGATACTGACACCGGGCCCTCGGCCGCTGCCACTCGTCGTAGCTGCCCAGCTGTCGGCCGACGAACAGCTGCCACCGCGCGCCGTCGACGTCCAGCACGTTGTCCCTCTCTAGCAGCAGGTCATACAGCATCTCCATCGTGAGCCCCGAATCTGGTAGGGCCAGCTGGTGGTACGACATGGACGTGCCGCCGTACACCGTCAGCACCTTGACGACGTCGAGGCGAGTAATGCGTGGGCCGCCCCACGTCACGCTCAAGTCGCGCCAGGTCGGCCTGGGACCGAGGGGGTCCACGTACGGGGCTCAAGTGGCTGGGGTCGCGGCCCACGGGAGCTTGTTGTAGATCACATGGGGCCGAGTGTCGGAACGGTCATCGGAGCTTCTTCGGGCCTTGGAGGCGCCTTCCAGGGAGTCGAAGAGGAGGCACTGAAGGATCTTGTCCCTCCGGGTCAGGGAGGGGATCTAGCAAGATAGGCCGGATGACCGCTTTGAAGCTCCTGCATGTCCGCTGGGCCGTCAGGAGGCATGGGAGGTCGTCTGCGCCGAGGGACTTGAAGACGTGTGTCAAGATCTCGACGGGCAGATCTAGGAGCGTCAGTGTCATGTTGACGGCTCGACTGTGATGTTCATGGGGGATTTGGCTTGCGTGGAGACGGGTGTGAAATGTTAGGATTTATAAGGTTTTCGTGTTGAGGCGGAGGGGGGATGTTTGGTTGGTGTCTCGACGTTATGCACCGCCCCCTGCAGGCAGCCAGCAAGGTGAATCCCGTGCAACGCCGGGCAATCATTTGCGCGGACCACGCAAACGAGACATACTTTTCTCCTCAACGCTTCGCGCAATCAAACACCTTCAGGCACTCTGGGGGAATGAAGATGTGTCTACAATATACTCATCACTCAACCACTCATGAGCAAGTAACCCTCCATCATAATCTTGGAGGGTAGCAACTTCATGATCCTCCTGTGATGTGGTGAAGTCGAACATCACCAGATGGAGAACCAGGCAGGTGCTCCTGGTTGACAATCGAGCTGAGCAAGGCACGTCAGCGAATATATAACTCGTGTTCGTCGAAATGACTTACCTGTAACCCACTCGAGGGCTATTGAATGCCCACGGGCAGGACAAGACCACAACAGGTGAAAGGCACTCCTGCTGCCAACCTACGCCGATGGGTCGTAGGTCATTCCGCGGTTGAGAGGAGCCGTTTGGCTTGTCTCGAAAAATTTGCCTTTCCCTCACCCATGAGGCTACAGGGCCCTGTACGGCAGTGGATGGGGTGAATTAGACAGTATTGCGTGACTCGGCTCATTCTTTCCTCAGGCGATGATTGTGTGAGTGCTTGAAGAAGGGTACCAGAGCCGGCTACATGCGTCTGAGAAGGCAATGTTCGTTGGAGGTGGGCGTGGTGATGGACGATGTTAACTATAACTGCCATATCACCGACGACGGCAGCTGCAACGTCTCGGCAGTCATGCAGATATGCAGCTTCTGTTGATCCGTAAAGTTTCGGCCAGACAGACGAGGACGAGGCCGATAGGCAGTCCGACAGTGCAGCATCAGTCTGAATTGAAGTTGACCTTCAGACCGCAGGCTTCTCTCTGCTTGCTCTCGTGGTGATACATATCCGCGAAGGACGTATAGGCACCGACCGATCTATTCTGGTTCATCACGGCGGGAGGGTTTAAACACAGGGCACATTGCAGCGCAATACAGCTCGCCGGGGGGTTGTGGGTGTGGACGATGTCATAGACTCGGAGTCCATCACCGGAGGTTGGCGTACAAGCGACGGAGGTAGCATCGGCAGACGATGGTTATGCAAGCGAGTGCGACTCGACTGTCTCAAGCTCGCGTTGAACGGAGCGGGTGTTTGCCTCTCGGCAGTACCCCTGAGGCCGAGTCGTGCGACTGGGCCAGCAAGGTTGCCCATACCCACTGGGACTCGGCGCGGTCTGGCCGACCTTGTCGTGCACAGCTCATCCCCTGTGGTGGAACGGCCCTCTGCTATACCATAGCTTGAGCCTGAGCCAGATTCACCAACCATTGGCGTCGCAGCTGTGCGCTGCGCTGTGGGCGAAGCTTGCGAGATGGTTAACTAGCTGTTGAGGGTCCGTGACTTTCCCGCACGGGTGCGCTGGTAGTCCCCGGTATTGGATGGACGATGGTTGAACTTTCGAGACCATGATCTCGTAACACGCGGGGTTCGAGGCCTCGACTAAAAGTCGTGCACGTCACGTCCTGTCCAGATGCGGACGGGCCACGGCTATTCGGTACCGAATTCCAACCTCTCTCAAGCCAATGAAGGCCCAGGATACAGCGACCTAGACAGTGCTCAAAAAGCAATGCGCCGGACATGTCTCGCAGCATCAGCACCTAGACGGACAGCAAGTGTCTGTTACCCTTCAGTCTCTTGGAAGGCAATATAGTATATCCAGCTGTGTGACTGTATCAACGGAAGGCAACTTATGTCATCAACAGCATCCTTCTCAGCGGCTCAATTCAATATGGACAGTAAGCTCATGCCGAATCGTCAACGCCATTGAATGACTTAAATGCAGAAATAGCACCAGGTAATACATACTGTAGGCATAGGTAGCTGTCCGGAGGTGGCATTATCCAGGGGCTACCGTTCACCTACTGTGCGCCGGACCTCGAGCGCCCTGTCCGGACAACTATGGAATGAACTCAATTAAGCCACAAGCGCGCTGCTCTTGGGACCCCTTTGACGGTAACACAATGTCCGGCCGTCTCGGTATGTCTCCAACATGGTCCGCTCGGACATGAGAGTACTTGAGCTGTGGGTGTGAGGGCTTGTTTATATACGGCGTTATATCCTCTTCCGAAGCCACCAACCACCAACAGAAACAATCACATACAATCTCCTGACGACTACTTTGGCGACACTCATTCTGACACTCTTTCCAATCGCATCTTTCTCATCCCATAAACTTGCCTATACATAACAGTTAAGATGCCTGGTGTTACTACTACCACAAAGTGGGATGCTATTCCCGGCCCTCTGGGCCTACAATCTGCATCTCTCGAGGGGAAGGTTGCCCTTGTCACCGGTGCCGGTAGGTCAATCATCTCCCAGTGTGTTCCGTGATTACAACATCCACGTCCCGAATCCCATGAATCATCCAACGACCTCTCCTAGCTGGGGTTACCGTCCTGTGTAGCGTGGAAGTGAGGGGTGGTTTCACGGCCATCCCCATGCCAAGTTCCGGAGGATGTCAGCTCTGGCGGCACACCTCGCATCCAATCACCACCCTCTCCGCACGCCCAAATAGTAAACTCCACAAGCAGAATACTGCCCCGCTGACATCTGACCACTGATCGCTGACACCCCCCGCAGGTCGTGGCATTGGCCGTGAGATGGCCCTGGAGCTGGGCCGTCGCGGCGCCAAGGTCATCGTCAACTACGCCAACAGCACCGAGTCGGCCGAGGAGGTAGTGCAGGCGATCAAGAAGTCCGGATCGGACGCGGCGTCGGTCAAGGCCAACGTGTCGGACGTGCCGCAGATCGTCGCCATGTTCGAAGAGGCCGTCAAGATCTTCGGCAAGCTCGACATCGTGTGCTCCAACAGCGGCGTCGTGTCGTTCGGCCACGTCAAGGACGTCACCGAGGAGGAGTTCGACCGCGTCTTCGCCATCAACACGCGGGGCCAGTTCTTCGTCGCCCGCGAGGCCCACAAGCACCTCGAGGTCGGCGGCCGCCTCATCCTTATGGGCAGCATTACGGGGCAGGCCAAGGGCGTCCCCAAGCACGCCGTCTACTCCGGCAGCAAGGGCGCCATCGAGACCTTTGTCCGCTGCATGGCCGTCGACTTTGGCGACAAGAAGATCACCGTCAATGCCGTCGCCCCCGGCGGCATCAAGACCGACATGTACCATGCCGTCTGCCGAGAGTACATTCCCGGCGGTGCCGACAAGACTGACGAGGAGGTCGACGAGGTAAGATACCCTTGCCCTGTGCTCTTATATATGCTTACGTTCTTCCAGTACGCCCGCACATGGTCTCCCCTCGACCGTGTCGGTCTGCCCATCGACATTGCTCGTTGCGTGTGCTTCCTCGCTTCCAACGACGGTGGATGGGTCAACGGCAAGGTCCTCGGCATTGATGGCCACGCCATGATGTAAGGGTCAATTGGCAATGCCACGATGTAGAGGTCAAATGGTAATCGTCGGCTCGCGCTACTCACCTTTGTAACATATACACCGGGATTCTGCTCTTATCTGGAGGTTGCCTTGTGCCGTCAGGAGTTCGACGTTGTCAGGGGTCAACCCATCATAGACTGTTACGCTCGATCAGTATACAATCTATCTTGCCAACCTTCGCTCTAAGATCTTATGTGGTTTGGTACAGCCGTGAACACTATCTAGACGTGATTTGGCATGAGGCTGCATCATTCCTCATGGTATCCTAATAGCACGCATCGATGACTACACTTTGGAGTCGTCACATTGTAGTTTTGCCATGGCCAATCCAAACTGTGGTCTCAACTGTTCACCTACAGTAAATCTGATATAACCCAGCCTATAAAATTCTTGCAGCAAATACCTTTGACATCGTCTCACCTCCATTTCCAACAGACCTCTAATTCATGCAAGTCATAGCGTGTCCCAACACGGTGGGCCTATGGTTCGCGGCGATTGGTCCAACTTCGAGTGCAACGTATTACACCAACACTGTCACCGATTCTTCGAGCAATCAACTGTGCACCATGTTTGTACGCCTGTGACACCACGGTCAAGGTAGTACACGGAAGAGAAGTCCGAGCAAGAGTCCGAAGTACAGGATCTGAATCCCTGCCGACGCCGGCCTGATAGCGTGGCTGATCTACGGCGTAGTCCAGTAGAAGTCCTCGTTGCTGACCATTCAGCTCGTCTCCTGAGCCTCCAACTGGCCCAACTGCCCTCCTTGCTGACCCGAGTGGCGAATGGCAATCGTCCCTCATACCGCCTCCACGTGTTTTGCATGCACCCATTGCGATGCAGTTCGATCGGCTGTGCATCAACATGTCCCCGCATGGTCTCATGGTGCAAGAAAGCTCTTCTATTGGCTGGGACTCGATGGAAACCCTGCTATACCCAATAGGATACGCCCGTTATGTCCGCTGTCAGACTGGCGGACCACGCGCATCCCAGTCTCATCCCTGTAGAAGAGGCAGTGAGAGTGCAACGTCAGGCGTACTTCCTGCCTACTAGGAAGGATCGGACTACCGGTGTGCTTCAACGCGCTCATAATTCGCCTCCAGAACATCTATAAATGAGTCTTTTCATTCTGATAGCTTTCTTCGAGTCCAGTGACCTTCGAAAATCTTTCGAATTATCCCACCTACTGCCATATTATCGTCCACAGACCTATCGAGTCTGACCACCATCGACAAGATGACCAAGAACATCTCCCAGGACCAGGCTGGAGCAAGTGGCGCACCGTCGGAAGAAGAGCCCACCGGCCAGAAGTGTGAGTTCAAGGCCTATCATGAGACAGTCAAGCGGGGAGTCCCGTCTTCGGAGCCCATCTCAGACCCCTTCGGCAAGCTCGACGCCCGAGATGACGACAGCACGTACGCGCTGGTCATCAGGCGGACCTTCCAAGAGAAGAAGCCCAAGAAGACCACGATGCAGATCAACTCGCCCCATATCCTGAAGGCATTCTGCGAGGTCATCAAGTCATACGCCCCCGTGCCATCGGACTTCACCACATCGCTCGAGCTGAAAAGCCCCTTCGAGATGCTAGTTCACCACTGGGACGACCTGGAGGCCTACCGCTACGCAGCGGCATCCTCGACAACAGCCCGCCAGCACCTGGACCTGCTCTTCGAGTTCATGGCCCACGAGCTCAAGCCCGGCCGCGACCGCGCGCTGAAGATGATCCAGGAGGGCCAGGTCGCGTACAAGGACGCCTGGGTCATCTACCGGCCGGGCGAGATCCTGTACACCGAGTTCTCGGGCGAGCCGTGGCTGCTCGTGTGCCGCAAGACGGCGTACGAGGAGAGCAAGGACGACGGGCCGTACCTCGAGGTGCACTGCGAGTACACGTGCCACAACGGCGCCGTTGTCGGCAACGCCGCGCACGCCGTCAAGATGTACCAGCGCGAGCGGTTCCCCCAGGACAACCCGGCCGGCATCGCGGACCTGCCGCTGTGTCCGCGGCGGTTCGTCAAGGTGGGCGAGGCGCTGGAGCGCCGCCTGCGCGTGCGTGGGGAGAAGTACCTCGCGCTGAGCGACCGGTCCACGGTCGCGTACGACGGCCCGGCCGAGTGGCTCAAGGAGCCGCCGTTCGAGTTCTACGACATGTCCAACTGCAAGTTCCGCGGCGTCTGGCTGCCGTTCACCGAGGCCGGGCGCGTGGTGCTCGACCGCAAGACGTTTGGCGAGGAGCAGCGCATGGCGCGCGTCGCGGTCAAGATCGCCGACCCGAAGCCCTGGCTCTGTCCCCCGTTCACGCTGGGCTACTCGCTCAACCGCAAGAACTGGTGTCGGTTCCTCGTCGACAATATCAGCGACGTCCGCTGGAAGCCGAGCGCGTGGGACGAGCTCGTGCTGCCCGACGCTGAGAAGTTGGTCCTGCAGAGCTTGGTCACGTCGCATGAGTACAGCAGGAACCCGCGCGACCACATGCAGCAGAAGGGCAAGGGGCTGGTTTGTCTGCTGCACGGCACGCCGGGATCCGGCAAAACGCTCACTGCGGAGACGGCGGCTGAAGGAACGAAGAAGGCGCTTGTCTCTACGTCGGTGGGAGAGCTTAACAGAGGGGCTAGGTAGGACGTGTCTTGTCCCAAACCTGACGGAACCGTTGGCTAATATGGATACAGTATTCTATCCGGCTCGGCAGCTTTCGAGAAGGAGTTGAAGAAGTGTCTCCAGTATGCCACGATCTGGCAAGCCGTTGTCCTACTCGATGAGGCAGACATCTTCCTAGAGGCCCGCAAGGACAACAGCTCGGACCGCAATGCCCTGGTCGCCAGTAAGTCCACAAAATTCTGTTTGTTCGAGAGTCGCAAGCTGACCTGAACGTCCCAGTCTTCCTCAAGGAACTCGAATACTTCGGCGGCATCGTTTTCCTGACCACCAACCGCGTCGAGTCCTTTGACCATGCTATGAAGTCCCGCATCCATCTATCCCTCTCGTATACGCCGCCCGGGGTCGATGTCCGCAAGCGGATTTGGCTGCAGTGTCTTCAGGCCATTCCCAAGGAAGCATCTGCGATAGATGCCGAGGGCGCCGTCGATGGCTTGGCGGAACAGGGGCTCAACGGAAGGGAGATCGCCAATGCTGTCAACACGGCGCGCACCATGGCCCGGTTTGAGAAGACGCCTCTGAGGATGAAGCATGTCGAGGTCGTGCTGGGTGTGCGTCGCGCTTTCGATGACAGCCTAAAGAATGGAGGTCTGTCTTTGCTGTAGGAGTTTGATAGAGCAGCGGAAGGTCCATAGTAGTGCTTTCCTAGATGGACTAGGGGAGGGTCAAAGAGCTGAGATTCGTGAGAAAGGTGACTTATGTGGCATTTGTTTCAAGCACTTGCAGAACTTGCAGAAGGATACAATTCAACTATCGCGAATCAAGCCAGAGAGCAACCTCAGACAAACTACATGCACATACTTTGATACATCATTGCAATCTGGACGTGACTGCAGAACTTTCCACAAGAGGGTCAGGGGCCCGTATTCCAGATCGAGTGCGAGTGAGTGAGTCAACCTGATGGTATCTAGGTGCTGTGGGAATTGAGATGGCAAGGCAGAGTTGAAGGAGGAGCAGCCCAATGCCAACGTGATGCTGGCACACTCGCGATAAGAACGAAAGGTTCTGACCTTAGGCGGCAATGCCGAAGTGGAACATGCGCTATGGAGAAGGATCTCCAGATATATCTCATCAGGGTGCAGACATGAAGGAGTTCCCTACGGAACCCGGCAGCCCCGGCGTGCCCGGGTAAGGATCACGACCCGCGCACCCACCATTGTGGAAATGAGGGATGCGGCAAATGATATCAGGAGCCGCCCAAAATGGCAGTGCCCAGGGTATCTACTACCGAGAAATCCACATATAGCGGACTACAAGGATTCTGTACGAAAAATAGCTACCCGTATCAGGATTGCTGCTATTAGCATATTTGACACCTTGCAGTCCACCTTATTTACACCGAGTACGGGGTAGGAGCATGGGAGGATTTGGCGACCCTTGGTAACTATACATGGATAGGAGAACATTGCGTGTCCATTCACGCGTAACTGGGACATGCAGAAACCGAATGCTCAAAAGGGACAGCCCTTATTATATAAGTTGATCCTGTGTTCGAAAATCATCTTCTATCAAACTCACCATACTGCACTCGAGACATAGATCAAGACTCTCTGTACATCGAAAACCCTCTATGAATCGATACCTACCATGAGACTCTCCGCGCAACTTTCACTCCTGGCCCTGGCGCTCAGCCAGGCATTGGCCAACCCCATGAATGCCAATGCACCCAACAACATCGCGGTATGTCACAACAATAAACAAACCCTCGCAATGATCTTCCTGCCCTAACAGTGCGGCCTACCCAGAAGCGAGATTCCGCCGACGACTGCAAGAAGGCGTGTACAGGAACACTGGCACTCGTGCCGTCGCCTGCAGATGGCTTTGATGTTGATACATGCAGCAAAGAGTGCGAGGGCTCGCTTCATCTTAAGAAAATTGCCAAGGTGTTGGCTCCGAACATTAACGACGACGGTGAGGAGGTGACGTTCGAAGATGGCTGGAAATTGCCTGTAAAGACGTTCTACAACAAAGTGAGGACAGTTCAGAAAGAGACTCAAAGCAATGACCAAGGTTGAAAGTCATGTGCAACTTGGCTGGTGGGCGGAGTAATCATGTATCAAGAATACCTAAAATACAGTTCATGACTGGAAGCCATGACTGGAGAGTCACGTGCAACTTCGGTGGTGGGAGGAGTGATTATGTATCAAGAGTACCTAACATAGAGTGCCTCGCACTTAGTCACATACCAAATGCCAGCAGTCACATACTAAATACCAGCGTTACCCACCTCCAAGACACTGGGCGTTTCAACCACTTCCAGACTCTCTCTCCCCTCACATCCCCTCACATCCCCTCACATCCCCTCACATCCCCGTATGCCGCGGCCAAGCATCCAACAAAACCGCCCTCCCCGTCAGCGTAAAGTTCCACGTCGCCCCTGTCGGCACATCCACCAGCAAACTATAGCTCCCGGGCCACAACCACAAACCCCCTTCTTCATCCCTCCTCCCCAGGCTCTTCAGCGTCAGCGTCAGGTTCGCCATACCTTCTGCACTGGGGGTGACGTCAAACAGTCGCTGGTAAGCAACGAGCCGCTTGATCGGGTACGGCGCGGGCCCGTGCTCGCCGGCGAGGAAGCCGAGCACTACGAAGTCGGAGGTTGTGGCGCCGGTGTTGGATACGGACACGGGGACCGTCTGGAAGGGGCACTGGTCCTTCTGGGTCTCGGTGCAGTTAGCGACGAGGGATCCCGTGTCCCAGGTTGAAGGCGACGACTCGGGCATGTCGATCGTGGTGCTGAAATTGGTGTAGTGCAACCCATACCCGAAGGGCACCGTCGCCTGGTCGTACCACATGTACGTGCGGCCCGGGTTCCCGCTTGTGGAATTGGGGCGGAGGCCCATGTCCGTCATGGCCACGTCGTCGACGTAGTGCGCCGGGTACTGCGTCACGGGCAGCCGGCCCGCTGGCGCGACTTTTCCTGTTAGGATGTTCATGATGGCGTCGCCGCCGGCCATGCCGGGGTACCCGCCCCACACGATCGCCGAGACGTTCGGGTGGTTGATGAACGGCGCGTCGTCCTGCTGGCCGCCCATCTGCAGGAGGATGAAAAACTTGCCCAGACCGGCGAGCTGGGTCACGATGTCGATCCGCTCGCCTGACCAGCGGATCAGCGTGCGGTCGTTGCTTTCCGACTCGGTGCTGGTGGTTGGCCCGTCGGCGTAGATGATGATATCGGCAGCTGCGGCGGCGCTGAGTGCTGCCGGATAGCCGCTTGTCGTTGGGTCTCCTGGCGAGCCGCCGTAGATGGCGTTGACGTTGGGGAGCCGAGTCGCGGCGTAGTACGGCAAGTGCAGATACTTGGCGATACCAGCGTAGTTCCCCTGCATCACCGTTGTGGCATTGGCCCATCCTCCGATCATGGCGATGGTGAGGTTGCCCTCGGTCGGTATCTGCAGTGGAAGGATCCCATCGTTCTTGATCAACACGATGGCCTCCTCGGCAGCTTTTCGAACAAGCTCCTCCGCGGCCGAGGTGAAGACATCGGAAAAGTCGAGTGAACGGTAAGGGGTAGCGTCAGCCGGGTCAAAGTAGCCCAATTTGATTAGGGCCGCATAGATGTGCGTAATGGCCTGATCCAGTGTGGCGTCGTCGATAATTCCTTCATCGTACGCAGCGGGCAAGTGAAGTTGATAGTAAGTGCCACAGTTCAGGTCTGTCCCTGCGAGCAGCGCACTAGCCGCGGCCGCTTCACGGCTATCGCGGTAGTCGTGGGGCATGAAGACGTTCTGTATAGCGTCGCAGTCCGAAACGACGTATTGGTAGTCGCGGTCCCAGTTCCGGTGATCTCTCAGGAGATCTTGGATGATGTATGACGAGCTGCATGTTGGAACACCATTGAGAGCGTTGTAGGAGCACATTACAGAGCCAGCGTTTGCCCGCGCACAGGCTTCGAAGGGGCCATGTAGTACTCAGCCAGTTCCTGAGGATTGACTATGGCATCGAATTCATAGCGCTCGTTGCCGAGCCAGTCTTCGATGTCATAGGCAGCGAAGTGCTGGGTTCAATGTCAGTATCCACAGCCAAAGAACAGCGCCTCAGCAGCAGATGATGTTACCTTGCATGTCGCAACCACCTTCAGTATATCTGGGTCCTCGCCACCTTGGAGCCCCTTGATGAGCGCCGTCACATACGAGCTCAAGTGAAACGGATCTTCGCCCGGAGTCTCCTGACCTCTTCCCCATCGAGGATCTCGGTATGGGTTTATGTTTGGCGTCCAAAAGTCCAAGCCTGATCGATTGAAGTTGTTGAAAGTTCGAGCTTCCGTACTGACCACCGTCGCGACGGCTTCAATGAGATCGTCATCGAACGCGGCGCCCATGAGAATCGGCTGTGGGAAGGAGCTGGCATAGGAGAAGTCCCCCGTCGCGTTGAAGTTAACGCCAGGGGAAGTAGCAACACCATGGAGAGTCTCCTCTAGACCACAGTCAGCAATTGCATCCCACAACAGGAGGACAGGAGCAGGGAATACGTACGCCACCACTCATAGCCTGGTAGCTCAAGTCTCTCAACGCCAGGTGATGTGTTGATCAGGAGCGCAAACTTCTCGTCCGTCTCGAGAGCTGCGACCAAGGCTTTGACGCGCTCTGAGATTGAGAGACCAGTGTTACACACGCCGTTGCTTGCGAGCGGTCCACTGGTGCAGTCCGGGAAGACGTGCCCAATGGCGGCCACGCCCGTGCTCATCAACGTCAAAACCGAGCCTAGTAGGAGTGCCATGACATCTGATCTCAAGTCGAGCAGCAACCTCCACCACAATCCTCGTCTTCATCGTGGCCGGTGTTCGCGTCTTAAAAATAGTTAGAAGCTGCGGAGAAACCCCTATAACCCCGATCTCCCCGCATTGGGGCTCCATGCGACCGAATAGACTCTCCTCATCGTCTCCGTTTTCTGGGTGCGCTCGAGGTGGTGAACGCATGCATTCCGGCATATCTAAGAGCCCAGTGCCGTGGCTTGCAGCTGCCCATCTCTGTTGACTGCGGGTGCATGTCTTACCGGCCGACATGGCCAACCAAGCGTGACGGTGACGGTGCCGTAGACAAGCGTTGCGGTGAACGGCATGCATTATACCGATATCCTCAGATCAAGTGCATGGTGGGCGGGCTTATGGGCCAATAGAGAAAATGTTAAGATGTCATGACGCACCATGTTGCAGTCTTTCCCCAGTAATGCCTTCAGGCTAAATCAGGCTGGGGCAACTGGTATGCGGAGAATGTGGAGGCTGTCGGGGCTGGGGTTATACATGAATGGACACTCCGCACACATCTCGACATCGACCACTAAAAGACGGGGTGAAGACCATACCTCCACAAGCAAGGGTCACACAAGGCCACGAAGTGGTGACCGGGTGATGATGAACATGCCCCTACCTGCTCGAATCCGATTTTCTCAATACTTCTCTATTCATACCAGCCAGCGGTGCAGTTAATGCGCGGAAGGAGAGAGGGTGAAAGCTCGGAGACCTACAAACGGTGAGCAGTATTGCCTTTCTGTAAGTAGTACTCATCCTGCAAAGGGGCCACCTCAGCGTGCTATAGGATCGTGACGTCGCTTCGGCTGGCATACAGCTTCTCCACGCCGCATGTACATGTAATTCGACAATCTCCTATATGTTTCCTTACGCGTCGGAAGCCGGCTTTCCTCGGGATGCCGACCAGCGGTCGTGACGTCGCTATTACCCATACCGAAGGCCACTCCAACTCTAGAGTCGGTGACATCTCCAAATCCCTCTCGAGCTGCTTGACCGCGACCCCATTGCAAGTGACTGTGGTAAAGGACTTGGCCCAACCGTAACTGAAGACTGACCTTGCAGGGTTGAGCAACACAGCCAGACACTCCTTGATGGGCGCCGTGAAGCGAGCCTGGCAGTCATCATCGTCCATACCGACTATCCGGATCGGCAGCTGCAAGCAAGCTGGGATACGGTGGACCGACAGGCCCTGTAGCTCGGCTATCCGCTGCTCACGAGTCTTGGTAGGATCAACGTTGAGGAGGAGATGAGCACGAGCATTTTCCGCGTCTGTGCCTATCGTGTTTACGATATGAGAGAGTGCTGCAGCCGCTTCTTTCGTGCATACAAGCTCACGGTCACTCAGCACGAGTAGAATCTGTGCGAGAAACGGCTCTTTTCTCTCAAGGTGTGCATGATCAATGTGAGTCTTGTTTCGATGAATCCTCGACGGCAGGTCCTCAAACTTCATGTTGGAGAACTCGGACGCAAGAGCAATCAGAATGGAAGTGTCCATATTCAGGACTTTGCTTATCTTGGCCTTTGGTCCTGGGACCATAGAGGAGAGCACGCTTTCCGATAGCAGTGGTGCCGGCGGTACGGCGTTTCCACATATCATATTGATACCAATGTGGCGACATATGTCCAAAATCTTGTCCACTGCAGTACCCAGAGTCAGTCGTTGCCCAGATTCCATGAGCTGGTGATGGGAAGAGAAGGGGAAATGGCATAGATACTTCGAGATGTAAATTTAGGATAGGCAAAGCAGCTGGCTCGCAAGAAATAACGGAGAAAGGCGAATTTGATGTACTCACCCGCGAAATCTTGCCCTTCGAAAATCCCGGGCAGTATAAGGTAGCATGTTGGACTTCGCGTTCCGATGCGGTACCCTTGAGCTGTATTGGCTAGTTTTTGCGCCGTCTTCACGAGAGGGATGTCAGAGAAATCGTCCGCGTCTGGTCCGTCATCGTCGTCTTCGTCGCTGTCTCCACAGAAGACGCCTTCCTTGGCGCAATCGTGCACCAGCCGATTGTTACTGTAGGTCGATACCTTGAGCCAAGACTTTCCGTCATCGGCTATGACATCGATGATAAAAGCGCTGTCTCCAGACTTCCGTTGGCCGCTCCCTTGAGACAGAATGATGCGGTGACCAGGGGCCAGAGCGGCTTGCTTCTTTGGGCCAGGCCATACGGGACATTGCAGTCTGACGATGCCTCGTGCTCGCTTTGCTGCATCCCATACTGTCTGGAAAAAGGGCAGGTTCGAGCTCGACAGGTGGTGTATTGATGTTGGATCTGGGGACTCCATGTGCTTCCTTATCGCTTCCACTTCTGCTCGTAGGTTATTGCTGAAAGTAGCATGCAGCCGGGTGGGGAAATCAGGTTGGAAGTAGCCATCGTAGGCCTTTGCCAGGTGGTCACCGAATTGTCGCACTTCTTCCTGCAGGTCCCTGCAGCGTGCGAGTAGTTCGTCAGCGTTGTAGCTACTCGCGGACTGGACCCCGGCATCGTCAGACTCTGCATTGCCACTAGTCGACGCCATGGTGGCGAGATGTGCTCGATGAGATGTGTGCTCCAGAAGTTGAAAAAGGTGAGGTGGTACCTACGCGGCCGTGATGAGTGAAGAATTGCGATGCGCGGGGCGCGTCACCCGGGGCACGGACCACACGAGATTCACGCAAGCACCACTTGAAAAACACCAGAAGAAAGGATTCAATGTCGGACCAAGCCCAGAATCAAAAATCGGTCCTGCCTCTTACGAGTGTAATATGCCTACCTTACCTATTCTGCCGATGGTACATCAATACGTTTCATCCTCGAGGAGTGTTGGCGCAACCACTGTTGACTCTACTGACGCTCCCGTCGCACTCGGTAACTTACAGAGTTAATGCGTGGCATTATCCAACACCGGGACTCCTGGGGTCGAGATCTTAAACATGACCGTTGGAGGATGCTCATTACTGCGCCAAACGTCACCGAGCAACGCAGGCAAGATCGCGACAGCATGATCGAGGAGGAAGAACGTTGGGAATCGGCCTGAAGAATGCGAGCTCGTCAAGACACCAGTCGCGGCATCATGACCATATTCGCCATGTCAGCTTGCCAAGAGGTTGTGTATCTCATCTTGCAGGTGAGTTATTATTACTCGACGTCCGGATAAGGTTCGCCATCACCTGCATGTGAGATTCAACACCTCACATCTTCCCAGCTTGCACATTACATCTTCTAAGTTCTCACTCTCACCTGGCTTGAGCTGTCTGGCTGTATGCAATCACGGTCATTCTCTCCCCACCTTGCCGATCCATCTCCGGCACTGCTTGATATAGGGCTGGGCGGTAGATTAGGTAGTTGATAGGACCAACGGGTAACTTAGTTGATAGTCATTACTCAACTGTCTCGAGTCATCCTTATCTCTCTTCCCCGTGGTGCGCGCCGACAAGCTTTCTGTCCGTCGACGGTCGTTCCCACTTTTGCATCCACCTTAGCCCCTTATCTCACCTTAACTTTCAACAGCCGCTTTCTTATCGCGACCTACCAGATAGGTAGCCAGACACGGCAGAGTCGCTGCATAGCTCAATGTCTCGTCTTGACGTTCCCGTGGATGACATAAAGGGTTCAGGGGGGCCTGAAGTCTATTCAAGATGGACGAGAATAATCTTGTCTCGCCTTTGCCTTCCAACTTCGCCAGCATCTGCCCAGCTACCGGTACCGCTGTGTTGTTTGTCAGTAAACCGTCACGATGGCAGTCGCACCACCACTAAGCCAGGCATATGGCTACGGAATAGTCCTCGGTGTCGGTTTCCTCTTCGCCTTCGGCATGATTCTGACGACATGGATATTAAAGAGGTACAAGATCGCAGCCCCGAACCAATTATGAAGGCTATAAAAGACTTACATCTCTTAGATACAACAATGAGCAGCAAACGAGTGAGAACTTCTCCACCGCTGGAAGAACCGTGAAGTCGGGACTCGTCGCTTCGGCCGTGGTGTCGTCTTGGACCTGGGCAGCCACGCTTCTCCAGTCGACCGGGGTAGCATACAAGTATGGTGTGAGCGGGCCGTTCTGGTATGCCTCGGGCGCAACAGTCCAGATCATCCTGTTTGCAACTTTGGCGATTGAGCTCAAGAGACGAGCGCCCAATGCCCACACCTTCTTGGAAGTCATTCGGGCGAGATACGGTAGGGTTCTGCTCTAGAAAGCCGGGGAGGGTTCCATCGCTGACAGTAGCTTAGGCCAGATAACCCACTGCGTCTTCATCGTGTTCGGCCTCTGTACCAATATACTCGTCACTGCGATGCTGTTGACCGGCGGATCTGCCGTTGTCACTGCTCTCACTGGCATGCACACAGCCGCAGCTTGCTTCTTGCTCCCACTGGGTGTAGTGCTGTACACCATGTTCGGTGGTATCAAGGCAACGTTCCTCACCGACTACGTAAATGCTAAGTAATGAGAGCTGGTGGGAGTTTTTTTAACCAATACGTACAGATCCACACGGTAATCATACTCGTGATCATCCTCATATTTGCCTTGACCGCCTACGCTACTGATCCCAGCGGCGTCCTGGGATCGCCTGGTGCCGTCTACGAGCGTCTCGTCGAAGCAGCATCACGACACCCGGTGGATGGCAACGCCGAGGGGTCCTACTTGACCATGCGTTCTCGAGAAGGCATCATATTCTTTGTGATCAACATCGTCGGCAACTTCGGAACCGTTTTCATGGACAATGGCAAGTCTTGCAAACCCTCTTATGTGATCGATCTCTTCTGCAATGCTAACTCCACACCAGGCTACTACAACAAGGCCATCGCAGCCCACCCCGTCGCTGCGCTGCCCGGCTACATCATCGGTGGTCTGAGTTGGTTCGCTATACCCTGGTTATGTGCAACCACCATGGGTCTTAGCGCTCTGGCATTGGAGGGCGACCCATCCGGAGTCTTTCCCACGTATCCCGACCGCATGCCTGAGGCGGATGTCACTGCCGGCCTCGTCCTGCCATATGCCGCTGTCGGACTGCTGGGCAAGTCGGGCGCGATCTGCACACTAATCATGATCTTCATGGCTGTAACATCGGCTACTTCAGCGCAGCTAATTGCCGTCTCTTCCATATTCACCTATGATATCTATCAGTGAGTCTGACTCCCAGACTGACCGCGCGCGCAATCAGTCCTGACGCTTGCGCCCAGAACCTACATCAACCCCAAAGCACCGGGGACAATGCTAATCGCCGTGTCACACACTGCCGTCATCGCATACGGCACCATCATGGCGGGCTTCAGTGTCGGTCTCTACTACGCCGGGATCAGCATGGGCTGGCTGTACCTATGGATGGGCGTAATCATCTCCGGCGCAGTCCTCCCCGCTTCCCTCACCCTCCTCTGGAAACGCCAGAACTGGATCGCCGCCGCGTTCTCTCCGGTCCTCGCTGTCATCTGCTCGTTGATTACCTGGATCGTCACCTGCGACAAGCTCTTCGACGGCGTCCTCAGCGTCGACAACCTCGGCTCCAACTATCCCATGCTGGCTGGCAACGTCGTCGCTCTCCTGAGCCCGGTGGTCTTCGTACCGGTGCTGACGTTTGGCTTTGGGGCCGACAACTACGACTGGATGTCCATGATGGCCATCAAGCGAGGCGGCGACGTGGACCCGACCGACACGCCCGATGAAGTCGAGGCTGCGAGCGGCGCAACCACACCTGACTTCACTCTTGTCGCCCCCGCGGAGGACATGGGGAAGCTGAACAAATCGTCCCGTATCGCAAAAGCGCTGGTTGTCTTCATGGCACTCTCGTTCATCATCCTCTGGCCGATGCCCATGTACGGCTCCGGGTACGTGTTTTCGAAGCAGTTCTTTTCGGGCTGGGTCATCGTCGGCATTATCTGGATCTTCTGCAGCTCGTTTGCTGTGGGTATCTACCCTCTCTGGGAAGGACGGTCGTCGATGGTCAGGGTGGCGAAGGGGTTGCTCGGCCGAGGTCCGAAATCTGTACTAGTCGAGACGGAAGGGAAGACGGTTGAGAGCGAGGAGCGGAATGGAAGTACGGATAAAAAGGAGTAAGGAAAGGAAGGCCCTTTGGGATAGGTCGGACAGCTAGTCGTCCCACGACTGGTATGACGGACAAAACCGCTGGTGGGTGACATGAATAGACTTGCTTCAAAAGATTTATCTATTTAACAGTTTGAATATTTGACCCCAAGCTTACCACCACCACCGCCATGGTGTCCACACGGCTATCCGACATCATCACCGGACTTGACGTTTATCGCGCTGATGATTCGCATTTCATCCGCCGCAGCTTTTTCATCGCCGCAGCATGCGCGCATTACTATGTCTCCGCCTGCCTTTTCTTAGCACTTGTAAGTCAGCCCGAGGGCTCTCGGCTGCATTTTCGCACAGTCGTTCTGTTGTACTCGCCAACACGAGGTGGCGTAATCCTCCGTAAGCACAATGGCCTTTTTCAGGCATGGCGATAACAATTTTGCTGCACGGAGTGGGAGTGAACATCTTTGCGGTCGGTAAGCCGACGATTGATCAGTAAACATCCACTTGATGTTGACTAGTCAGCAAACAGACGGGATAAGTGTGGTATAGCACATCACCCCGCGACTCCGTTCGCTGCCGGAGTAGCGGAGCAGAGTAAGACAATACTATCAATGCCCAAGAGGGCAAAAAACCCGCACCTGCTGGCTCTGACAAATAGCACTTGGCGAAAATTAAGAGCCTTGAACTCAGAGACAAGACTGCTCACGCATCGAGGGCTGATGAAGAGCTATATAATGGCACATTCTGCCCCCATCATGAGAGATAATGGACAACAACCAGCACACAATCTCAGCAGTAACCTCACTTACAAACAAAGAGTAACGCCAGATTACACTCGTCGAGATGGCACCCCCTTTCCATGGCTGGGCGCAAGCTCATCCTCTGTTTCATTTCATACTCTTCAGCATGATCCTTCCACTTGGCACAGCGTTGTCTCAATTACGAGCGGACCTCTACAACACACCAGCCATCCCCGCCAACGCAACCCTCCCCGACGGCTCGGTCGGACTATGGCAGCCCACCGTCGTGACCCTGATATCCGGAGAAAATGAGGCAGTGCTCATCGACACCCTCTTCACGACCGAGCAAGGCGTCGCTCTAAGCGACTGGATCGAAGAAACCATCCCGGACAAGCGCCTCACCACGATCTACATCACCCACGGCCACGGCGACCACTGGTTCAACATACCATACATGCAGACCCGCTTCCCAGGCGTAGAGATCGTATCGACGAAGGACTCGATCGAGCACATGGTCACGCAAATAACGCCCGAAATGCGCACCTTCTGGACGGAGCTGTTCCCGAACCAGATCGACGAGCAGTCCTTCCAGATCCTGGCCGAGCCCCTGGGGGACAACAAGTTCACCCTCGAGGGCCACACCTTCGCGGCCGTGGACGTGGGACACTCAGACACGGACGAGACCACGTTCCTCTGGGTGCCCGCGCTGAAGATGGCGGTCGCCGGAGACATCGTCTATAACGACGTGCACATGTGGATGGTCGAGTCAACCCTGCAGAGCCAGAGGGACGCGTGGGTGCGGTCGCTGGACGAGGTCGCGGCTTACATCCCCCAGATCGTCGTCGGCTCCCATCATAGGCCGGGGGGCGTGGATGGGGCGTTCAATATTGAGGCTTCGAGGCTGTATGTTGAGACTTTTGGCAGGTTGGTGGGCGAATCGAAGAGTGCGGAGGAGCTGTATGACAAGGTTTTGGATGCATATCCGAATCGCCTAGTTAGGCTGGTCTTGTGGCTGAGCTGCCAGGCTGCCTTTCCATCGGAATGAGCAGTCTGGCCGGAAGAAAGCATGACCGAGATGTTTCCGTCTCGCTGCTGTGAAGAAAATGTTGACCGGAATGTCCTGCGCTTATGTCAGGTAGACATAGATCATTTGTTCCGTGGATATTCCTGGCCCCCAACCATGTCACCGTGCTCGTGTTAGGTTTCTACGGTTTCCTTCTTCTCCTTCGGGTATTAAATGCGAGCGATTTGATTCAAAGAAAAGGAGAAAAGGCACTGTGCGCCTTGGGGGATCATCGAGCTACTAGGGATGTTGAAATAAGCGCCCCCTGGGTATCGATGGTATTTCACGTGTCACTGTGTAAAGCGCCTCAGTGGGGGAACATAGGAAAATTAATTGCTTCTGCTACATATGTCATACAGTATCTTCATCTCAGATTTGCTGTGGAACCAACTCCCTTGATAGCTACCTATCCATACCCGCCGGTCCTGAGGAAACCTATCTTGACCAAGCCAGAAACTGCTGTTTAGACATCAATCAGCTCTCCATCCAGCATCTTCAGAGCCTGCACCCGCTTATCGGCCAACATGTACAAGCGATCCATCGGCACCTTGGAGCCGCTCTTGAGCGACAGGAGCTGCGCCGACTTGATCAAGTTCTTGATCTCACGCCCATTAAGAGGCAAATGCGACAGCTCGTCCAGCGCCTCATCGTTCAACTCGAAGTTTTCCTCTCCAGCTCGCTTGATAAAGTTGACCCAGACCTGTCGCCGTGCCTCGCTGCTGAGATCGTGGTAAGGCAGGAACAGGTCGACCCGCGACTGGAAGGCGTGGTCAATGCTCGCGACGCGGTTGGTGGTCAGGAACAGGATGCCCTGGTAGTACTCGAGCATGCGCAGGAAGATGGAGACGAGCTCGTTGCGGGCGATGCTCTCCGAGGTCCTGGCGCCGAGGAAGACGTCGGCCTCGTCGAGGAGGAGCATCGCGTTCCACATGCGGCAGAGCTCGAAGGCGCGCTCGAGCGCCTTCTCCACGTCGGACGGCCGCGTGCCGAGGTCGCCGGCGCTCATGGCGTAGAGCGGGACGCGGGACTTCTCGGCCACGGCTTCAGCGGTGAAGGTCTTGCCCACGCCGGGCGGGCCGAACATGAGGATAATCAGGCCGCGGCCCTTGTCCTGGATGAAGTCGTCGAAGCCATCCTCCTTGGAGAGGCTTGGCTTCGACGAACTCCCACGCGAGAGTCTTTTCGTCGCCGGGCAGGACGAGCTTGTCAAAGGCTTGGTCGTTCCACGTCATGTCCTAAAGCTGGTCAACGCGAAGTTCGCACCAATCCTTGCTCTTCAAGTCGAAGCCCTTGAGCCAGGGGCTGGTCATGAGAAGCTGGTCCTCGGTCAGGGGGCGAAGGTCTTGCGTTCGCTCGGCGGGTCCCTTGGCGGCAGTCCCGGCGTCGACAACGACTGGTTTGAAACTGGCCTCGTAACCGGTATCAGGCATCGCCGTGTCATCAGTGACAGTCTCGTCCTCGTCCTGATTCCTGTCCACTTTCTTATCCCCATCTCCGTCTTCATCCTTCTCGGCAAGGAGGTATCGCAGCTTGGGCTGCATACGCGTCGATGCAGACCTTGCCGGCGACGGGCCGCTGCTCTCGCTTCTCAGTCTCCAGAAGAATCTTGGTTCCATTGGCGGCCATGAAGTGGTAGCCGCGAAGCCGCTCGAACTTCTGGCCTCGCTCGATCGCAGTCTTCTTGAAGCCAGCTTCATTGGCGAGGAACGAGATGGGGAAAACGGGAAGTGAGGTGACTCGGCGGTATCCGTCGAACTTCCAGATCTTGATCGTCGTGGTGGCAAAGCCACAGTTCTCTCCGTTCCAGTCTATGTACTCCACGTCGATGACCCACGATGGTGGAATGGTGGTCCCGTTTCCCTCGCGCTTCTGGTACTTGGCGATGCGACAGATGGTGTCAACCCCGTAGAACTAGGTCGAAACCAACGACGATGGGGGAAAGATCTGCCAGACGTTTTCGAAGCTGACATTGCCAGCCTTGTGCGTCTGCGCATGCGCCAGAACGGACGGGGCAACGATCGGTGTCAGGAAGGCTAGCAGCACCGAAGCTGCGTTCTTAAGTGCGGGAACTTTGGCATTCTCGTGGTACTCCTTGAGGACCTCCCAGCGATGCACCAATGCGCGGAATGGGGGCGTGAATGTCCATTCCTCCAGCGCCATGTCGAGTTCTTGATCCTTATGGAGGACGTCTGTAAGGACGACTCGCATAGAGGGGGTCCTGGATGGTGATGTTGCGAGTGACCCAGTGCTTTCTGGCGTAGTGAAAGCGGTGGATGATGGGGACTGCTGACGTGCGCGCTTTCAGGTCGGCTTCTTCCGAGTCCATGTTTTCATGTTCAGACCAGTGGTCCGGACAGTAATCATGGCACACGTGATGGTACCAGTTGCTGACCAGCTTGGAGTCCGGAGGGTAGCCAAGCTTGGAAGCTTGCTTGGAGCCGTCGTGTTCAAGGCTAGTGGGACAATGGGGACAATTTCCAGGACCTGCTCGTGGTCATCGCTGCTGGAAGGAGAAGCCTCGGGGTTGATAACTTCGTCGGAGTGAGGGTTATCAACCTCGAAGTCATCGAGCTTGATGTCGTCATAATCAACCTGGGCCGTTGGAGGCGTCAGTTTGAACCTAGCTCGTAGAAGATGGAATATACTTACCAGGATCAACATATGCGCGCTTGCTCGCCATTGTATCAAATGCGACAAGATCGGGAGAAGTGGTGCCTTCCGGAGAGGGGCTTCTTCTGAGATCGGGAATATCGGGAAGTAAAGTAGGATGATGGTCAAGAGGTTGAAGGACGGAAGATGTGAAGGAGACGACCATGGCTATATAACCATCAACCTGATGTAACCCCGAGGCAGAGTCTACCGTGGAATATGGGATGAGTCATGTGAACTGAGGTTCGCATTCTTCCTTCTCTGGATTCTTTATCTTTCAGAGGTTCCTGGCAAAGTCAAATCGCTTTCATTGTTCAAACCCTCAGCCGTCAGGAATTCAAGAAGTTGTGGAACATAGAGCCAGAGTGCTTGCCTGATCATGGTAGGCAGCAGCTGGGACCGGATTCAACCATTTGGCTGAAAGCACGTGAAAACAATGAAAGGGTCTGCATGAAAGCTCCGTTGTCCGACCCATATATCTTTTGTCGGTATGGCGTGTGTCGCGTCTCTCCCCTAGTTGCAGCATATACCTACATCGTTGAAGATCGGGGCCCCTATCTAAGTTTGTGTCTTAGTAGGTCTGGCAACAGTTGCCTCGTTGGGTACAGTGCCATGCCATAAAAGGTCATTACGCTTACAAAGGATTTCGCTACTTCCTGTCTGGGAGTACAACTTATTCCAGCATCCCCAGCAGCTCGATGATCCCACAACGCGCATGGTTCCCAGGAAATCACATGTAGGGACATCTCAATCCCTATCCGACACGAGCTCCGTATCACTACGAACCTCTCGTCTACAGCTCCGCACCATCACCACCATCCAGCTGCGTCGGATCATCCAAGTCGGCAAACAGTTTGACGCCCCAGCTCTTCCCGGGGTTGTTCATTCGAGCCTTCTTGTCCTGCTTGGCGATCTCATCCATCTCCTCATCTGTGAAGCTGACCTCCAAAGCACCCTGGTTCTCCGTGATGTACTTCTCATGAACGCTCTTGGGAATGACGACGGTGCCGCGCTGGAGTCCCCAGGCGAGCACGGCCTGGGCGACCGTGGCATTCTTGGTCTTGGCCAAGTCCACCCAGAAGGCGTCCTCCATGATTGGCTTAATGTCCTTGTGGTAGGTCGGATTCGTGTTGGCGAGGGGCGAATAGGCAATGACCTTCACTCCAATCTCTCTGTGGAAGTCGACGAAGGCCTGCTGCTGAAGGTAGGGGTGCGTCTCAAACTCGTGGGCATACGGGCAGATGGTGCAGACGTCCATGATCTTCTCGACGTCCGTCTTTGCGAAATTTGAGATGCCGATATGGCGAGTCAGATTCGCCCGGACCAGGTTCTCCATAGCCCACCAGGTGTCGACGATGGTTGTGTCCTCGTCCAGCTTGTCGCCCTCGCCTGGGACGAAGGCCACGGGCCAGTGCATGAGATACAGATCCAGGTATCCCACACCGAGATCTGAGACCGACTGGTTGATTGCGGCTGTTGCCTCATCGGGCCGATGATGTGCGTTCCTATGCACAGCGTAAGCTCGCGAACCTATTGAATACTCCCTATGGCATTGAATTGGATTACCATAGCTTGCTCGTCACCCAAATCTTGTCGCGGGGGACCTTGGCTGCTGCAATGCCCTTGCCGGTTTGATCTTCATTGCCTGGTCATATGTCAACGGCTGGTGTCGTCACAACAGACCACGGAATGCTCGCACTGTATATGAGGGCCGCATCAATATGATTGTAGTCCGACTTCAATGCGAACTCGACAGCATGTGCGACCTATTCCCAGTAAGTCAATCCATAGGCCCTGCCTTCGTACATGGAATCAGCGTCACCTTGTCCTTGTCCGAGAGCCAAGTCCCCAAGCCGAACGGCGGTATCTCGCTCAGGCCGGCGCGGCGGCCTTCGGCAGTGAGTGGGGGCGCCGAGGCGGGGGAGACATGCTGGTAATTGGCGAAAGAGAGGAAGCCAACGACAAACACGACGGCTGAGATGGCGATGGTTCTGTAGTGGTGAGCGGAGAAATGCATCTTGTTTGAATGCCTCTCGTTCTGCGATGCCGATTGCCAACAGTGAATCGGGGTCGAAGTGTATGAAGACCGCCGGGCGGTTGGCAAGTCTGAGATGTTTCATGCACAGAGCCTCCGCATTTGGGGCGCCACGGATGACATCATGGACACGGAATTGTAGCGTCGACATGCAGGGGGTGAAAGGGGTGAAAGGGGTGAAAGGGGCGAAAGGGGTGAACATTGAAGAAGTCGTGATCGACCATGTTCACTAGTTGTTAACTTTCTTTGCTGGAATGAGCGATAGAAGCGCAGTGAGCGTAAGTCACTGATCACACCGGCCATCTGACAACTTGAACCGTGATGATTCCCGGAGGTGCGATGGCGGTCAGAACTGGACCAACGTGGTGCAGACGCCGCTCCTCGCCCGTCACATACTTCTGTCAGCAAGCTTGACTATGGCTGGCGCAGGACGTACATCATCGACGCCATTAATGCGGTCAGTATGTCAAACCTTTCTTATCACATTACTGTGGAGGATGACGGGCCAGGGAGCTTCGTTAGAGGAAACTCTATCGAAATGGGCAAGTTGGAGGTGAAGTCCTGGGTATCATGATGACGTTACATACACTCAACATGAAACACATTGTTACCTGGATATAGCTGAGCAGAATATCTCATACCACAAGACCCCATGGTTCCGAAAACATCACCCACTGAACTGCCCCCATCTCGCACTGAAATCGAAATAGAAAGGCCATCCCATCAGGAAATACAAGGCCTTCTTAGTCAATATGTCAGCAGGCCATCCCACTACAGGCTACCCCAGTACATATGCAGATGGCGACGAGAAGGTCTACAGCCAGCATGACATCCAGAATGAGCAGAGACACCATTCCAAGAAGGCCACTGGTTACATGCCGAGTAGGTTCCCTGGAGTATTCCCTTATTCGAGGAGGACATCTAACCCGTTACAGAGGAGGATGTCAGTCGCCCCAACACCCATCCCAACACCCATCACCTCACTCCAAAAGCTAACCGGTTGTAGATCCCAGACAAAGTCAACGAGAGATACAAGTCGGAGCCTGGATATGCGGTAAGTGGTAGCGGGAGAAGGCACAAACCCAACCCCCGTGAACATAGCTGACCGGGCTGGAACAGGCCACTATGCATGGAAATGAGCCCTCCAGGGGAGCAAAGAAGGATGCTGAGATTCAGGCTGAGGAGGAGGAGATCATCAACAGGAAGAAGCAGAAGACTGACTCACTGGTCGGCAAGAAGCCCCCGAAGGTGTTGGGGGTTGTCGAGTAGAGAAGACGGGAGATGGTCTCATGGTGATGCCTGCGAATTGAGGTCGACGACATCTCCCGGGCGGCAAAACGTATACTTCGCTCAGTAGACATTCACTCAATCAATACATGACACGGGAAAGATGTGAGTCAGTGATACGGTTTGATTGCAGTAGGCGCACCTGCGTTTGACGCGTTCTTCGTTGGTCCATCTTCTCAGGCACCTGCGTGCTTTCGCCGCGATATGTACAGTTCGACTTATCGCTCATCTTTTATCATTAAGTGACTTAACCTACCATCCAGTTTCGCCACACACAAAAGCGGCTTGCTCTCACTTAATGGTATCCAATATCTGATCTCTGAAATGCCACCCTTGGCCCCCTTTTCCGTTTTCTCAACAACTTTCTTCTCACTCTTGGCCTGGTCTACCGGGTTTGCATTGGCCGATTTTATGCCGGGGCCATGCAGGAAGCCCGATCCTTTCGGCAATGTAAAGGATTTACCTGGTACATGGTAAGCTTATATCCGTTAGCGTGAGGAAATTAAACATATTACTTGGGTAAATGTAGCGGTTCTAAGATTTAATTGGAATTTTCGCCAAACCTCAATACAGCTACTAATAGGTTAGCCTTAAGTTTTTAACCATAATTGAGGTCTTACTAAGAGGACGACGTCTTTTAAAAGGGTATAAACCTATGTTTAGTTTAGTTTAGTTTATTTAACGCCGTAGGGGCTCTAGGCTCCAGATCCTTATAGACGTTTGGCGTGCAGGTGACTATCTTAGGGGCTAATATACAAGCCTTACTATACGGGAAGCAGGACATGACTCCCTATTTCCCACGATAACCTGCAAATCGAACCTCGAGGGCACATATGTTATTCTATCAGTTTCTGTTGGCCCCGCCATTTGGGCTCGTGCTCTGTGATATCTGGTTTGTAGTCGGTAGTCCGAATAGCATCAAGGAGCTCCTCTCGCTTTGACAGTTAGTGCCTTGCGTTTAAAAGGCTATAAGCTAGAAGAAAATAAAAACATAAAGAAAGATGGTAAAAGTAGTAAAGAGATGTAATAACATGCGCAGTTACACCTGGTGATCGATGAATTGATGTTCTGTAACCCTGGGACAGACTTTCGTATAGAATTCTGTCCACTTATAGAAGTCTCTGAATTCCTTTGGGTGCGTTATCAGCCATTTCCAATAGGCTCTCCCTTCTGGTTTGGGTTCTCCGTTGTGTCTGCGGTTTCTTCGTGGCTACCCAGACCGTTTTGTAAGGGCTCTGTTGTAAAAAGCAAAGTGGGCTCGCGTTTTGATTCTCCCACAAAAGCAGTTGTAGTGTTCCTCGTGCTTGAACCTCCTATGGTACCAGCTAAAGTCGCCGTGTCCAGTTCTAGATGCGATAAGCCTGTGGAGCGTTGGCCTGTTAAGCTTGAGCTCTTCTGGGCACTTGAGCGTAGTTTTCTAAAGGCCGAGAGTTTTGTATTTATCACTGATGTTCTCGTCCCACCATTGCTGGTGTTCTTTTTGAGTCTTTTCGTTGAGAAGACCTAAGACGCCCGTAAGCGTGGGTTTGGCCCCGATAAGGATTGGTAAGATAGTGCCTTTCTTTGCCTTTTTGTCGGCCTCTTCGTTGCCTTGAATGTCCATGTGCCCTGACACCCATTGGACCTGTACGTTGGCGTACGTGTCCGAGATTTCGTGGAATTCTAGAAAAGCTTCTTGGGAGCTCTGAGCTGGTTCCCCCCACAGTCCGGAGATCACTGCTGCATTATCCAGACACACGTGGATGGTGGCGCCGCTACTGAGCCTCAGGGCCTGTCTGAGTGCGTGGTGGGCCCCTTCGACCTCATTATCAAAGACCTCATTTGGGTGGCCCAGTCTGCCACAGCCCGAGGCTATGTTTGTCTGGCCTCTATACATCACGTATCCATATCCTATCGCCCCCTCCAAGGATTTCGAGCCATCAGAATAGGCGACTATGTGTGAAGGCAGAAGGGATTTTAGCCAGTCTATGAAGACTTTGGCTTTTTTAGCTTTATTTCTTATTATAACAGCTTTGCCAACGTTCGTTGCATATCTTGGTTTTATTAGGATTAGTCTTAGAAAATCCGGTGTGAGTTTATTTATCCTTTAGAGCCGTATCCTTGTGGTTATCTTAACTAGACCCCTCAGGCCTCTGCTCACAGTAGGGTTCCGGGCTGTAACACATCAGATTAACAGATGCATGTTATCCATAGCTCTGATTCTCAGGCTGAACCGCATCCAGATCTTGCTGAGTATGGTTTATACTGTTGGTAGGCCTGATTCTTTAAAGAGTACCTTCTTTGGTGTAGTCCTCCAGACCGGGAGAATCCTTTTGATGGGCTCTGTAAGGACTCTTTCTAGGTCGTCTGAGTGGCCGTTCCGGCGGGTGCTCACGTCCCGGACCTGACCATTTTCTGTTCTCTTGTAATCCTCGGCCCCCCAGACCTCTGCCCCATAGACCATGGTAGGAATCACGCATGCAATTACCCCCTTGCGGAGGGCTGCTGCTAGGGGCCCTCTAATAGTGTTTACAAGACTTCGAATATGTCTGGCGACGACGAGGCCCTTGGCTGCCCGTCTTTTGACATGCTCCCAGAACTTCAGGAACCTGTCGAAGAAAATCCCCAGCCAGCGGACCACCGCCCCTTTCACTGGCTGTTGTCACGAAGCGTAAATAAGATGAGGACATAAAAGTCCTGATTACACTACCTACGTGTATGTCAGATTTGAGCCAATCGTGAGGTTGAAGTGTGTCTGTATTCTGTCTCTCTAGAGTGTCCTCGTGCGACCGTGGCAGTTTTGTGCCAGAGGGGGCTGGATCGGGACGGAACAACTAGGTTCCGGTGTCTACCTATCAAGGTGCTCTCTGGGCTCACCTTTAATCCAACAGTGTAAGAATCTCTTGGTGGGGGGGGAAAGAAGGATCTGACCCGCCAGCCAATTCTGGTGGGATTAATGATCCTTCCATCCGCCCCACTATTACCTAGCCTAGTACAGTTGTGGCCACACGTCTTGTGCGCCAGGTCATGTGATGCTGCGCACAGGCCACCCTGATGGGTTGACAGACTTCCAGGAGGTCAGACCGTCACAGCTGCGCTGGTTTGATGGTGAAGCCTCCGGGAGTGATTATTTCTGGTGTCAGAGGTCTCCTCCCAGTATCAAAGTAGATGGCTTCAGCCTTGGAGTCTTCAAAATGACCTTGTTGTCTAGGCCCCAGCGTAGAATATTGTCTACCATGCTAGCTGCCTTGGCTGCTAGCTCAGTAGTGGTTTTGCCCGTTATTCGGATGCCTACGTCGTCTACATATCCGAATCTGTTATGCTTATCCTCTAAGTAGATATCTGCAATATACAGCAGGAAGAAGATCGGGGAAGCTGGTGATCCTTGTGGGAGCCCACAGCTCAGTCCGAATACCTGTTGGATATCATACCAGGCTGAGGCTTTCGGGGCTGAATGCGCTAATGGGTTTAGCTTCAGGGCAGTCAGCCCACCCTCAGGCCACCAGGATCCTGGCGCCATTATCGTATGATTATCTGGTCACCCTGATGGCACACCTGTACATATGGGGGCTTCTCCCCCAGAGATCTTCTTCTCTTTCCTTTCAATACAGAACGGTTTGAAATCTCACAATACCTTAGTAGTAACGCCTTCCAGTCTAATCTGAGCAGTTCTGTCCGATAAGAAGGAATCTACCCATTTTACAAGGGCTGGTGCCCAGCCCTGCTGGCGGAGCCTGAGAATCAATCTCTGGCAAAGTACTGTATCAAACGCCCCTTGTACATCCAGGGTGACAAGAAGGGCTTTTTGCCCGGATTCCAGGGCTAACTCGATGTCGTGTGTGACTGCTGCAGTAAGGTCGACCGCAGAGCGCTTAGGGAGGGCCCTGATTTGGTTTGGGCTGATCACCTCTCTTAGTAGGGCTGTTGTTGCCATACGTTTTGCAACTAGCCTTTTAAAGCCCTTTTCAAGGCATGATAACAGAGCAACCGGCCTATATGATTTCACGGTGGTATAGTCCTTTTTCCCCGGCTTCTTGAGCATGATTACTTCTGCTGACTTGAAAGGGGTGGGATAGTGCCCTATTTTAAGGCAGGCTTGAAATAGAAGCCAAATCGGCTTCGCTAGGTGGACCCATGCCGCTTTGAGGAGCCGTGTTGAGAGAGAGTCTATTCTGGGGGCTGTGACGGTCTGACCTCCTGTACGTCTGTCAGCCCATCGATGTGGTCAGTGCGCTGCATCAGGTGACCTGGCGCATAGAACGTGTTGCCACAGCTGTACTAGATTGGGTAATTGTGGGGCGGGTTGAAGGATCTTTAATCCCACCAGAATTAGCTGGCGGGTCAGATCCTTCTTCCCCTCCCCACTGAGAGATTCTTACACGTACGTAGTGAAAGCAGGACTGTTACGTCCACTCCATATTTACGCTTCGTGACAGGAGCTGTGTTTTCCGTGAGAACCATTTTAGCAAGTTTGGTTAGCGATATTACAGAGTCCCATTCCAATGCAGCGCGGGGGGCGATGGGAATCCCTAACAGGTCGTGTACGAGGTCGTCTTCGGCCGAGTGCCTGTCTAGTAAGGCCGTCTTAAGGGTATATGCCTTTTTGGTAGTGTCCTCTATTGTCAAGTTGCCGACTTTTAGTGGTGGTGATTTTATGTCCGGACCTAGCTTATGCCAGTTAATTATCTTGAAGAGGTCTGAGTCTTTCTGTATGCCTTTGATGCGGGCTTTCCAGTACTCTCTTTTTGCCTGTCGTACTACCGCCCAATACGCGCGTTTCTCTTCCGTAGGGATGTTAAACTATATTTCTTGGCGCCCCGCTGTTAGGGCGCAATCTCTATATCTGTACTAAAGCAGGCATTTTTCTCAGTATCTGACTATCCTTGCCAAGGCGCAGAAATTTTTCCTCACAAGCTGGATGGCACCCCTTCATGATAGGCCCCCAAACACGCCAGTGGCCGTCCCAAAGACGACTACTGGCGGCGTGCTCAAATCCCCGGCCC